TATAATTATATAATAATATAATATAAAATTCTGTATATAATAATATATAGAATATAAGTAGAATATAGCAGAATATAATATATATATTATAGAAATAAATTCAAAATCTCATTGTAACATATTTAAAAATCATCAAAATCGGAGAAAAAATAGCTTTTTTGTTCCAATTTCATATTTATGATTATAGGTTTTCAATATTATTGTTTTTTATATGTGTTTATAGATATATTAACGTTGAATTTTTATATGTTTCTTTTGAATTATGCTATTAAATGATATTTTTGAATAATTTTTAATCTTATTGTTAATAATGTGTATTTTTATATTTTTTTTTATTATAATGGTATTTGATAATTAAAGTAAATAATATCAATTAAGCAGATAGTCTATTTTTGTATAATGATTTTAATGATTTTCAATCAAATATCAAAGATCATTAAATATTATTAGATTTAAAAAAAATATACAAATTGTATTTTGTTGTAGCATCAACATGCCATTATTGAAACAATAATGAAAACACAGGCAATACATAAATGATAGTTGATTGCCATAATCGAAATATATTAAATGAAATAAATTCAAATAATTTTGATATAGAATAAATAAATTTTGTCCAAGATAAATTTATTATACATTTTCTAATAATTTTCGAATCATTATGTATGAATTCTGTTATAAAATTTGATCTAGTTTGATCATTAAGTTTGAATTTTTTTTTTAGTCTCTTAATAACCAAGTCATAAACATTGAAAATATGATTTTACGATTTACCATTTATCTAATAATCATTCGAATTCGCAATATGAAAATAAAATATAACAATATGAAAATAAAACAACTCTTAAATAATTGAAATTATGATGATAATAACAATAACAACAACAGTTTTATTAAGTTTGATGTAACATCGATCATTATAATTTTAGTCGCAATCGTTCTATTTTATTTTTTTGAAGAATTCAATGTTCAAATTCTTTATGAATATACTATAGGTACTAAATATAATGATTTTCGCGCAATATTCAATTTTCAGTATAAATTGAGATTTTAAGACAATGTATGAGAAAGTAGATTTTGATCAAATCTATCTTTTATATTAATATTAATTATTTATTGTCAATATGCTTATATTAATGGAAGATAAATGGCAATTTTATACTTATATAGCATATGCTATCATAAATGTATATATAGATAAATGTATAATAATAACAATTCTTTTTTGTAAATATTTTGAAAACTAAGATTGATTGTTATATCATTATATGTATAAAAAAGAGTTGTTTAAAATATTGATTTTTTACAATACATTTCAAAATCATCAAAATTGGAGAAGAAATAGTTTTTTTAGAACTTTATTAATTTTTGTTATTATAGATTTCTAAAATTTAATTCAAAATTAAAATTTGTAATGTGCATCAAATATATAATATATGTATATAATATGATAAATGTACATAACAAATGTATAATAAACTGTCGTTTTCGAAATTATAAATGCCGAAATTCAAATGAATTTTTAATAAAAAATAAATTATTAAAATAAAAAATAAATAAATGAAATAAAAAAACCAATCATTTAAAAAACAACATTTTTTGAAATGATTCTTATAGTTTTTTTATTATTTTTAAATGAAATACATATTATTATATTTATCATGCAGATTGATATTTATTTTGTAAATTGAAATGAAAATTTTTATTTTCTGAATTTTTTCTATTGGACAAAATCCATTACAAATAAATCTTTACTATTTATATTTTTTTGTTCTTCTAAACATAATTCATTATAAATAATTATTAATATTATCCATAATATAGGCTGTCACATAATAAAATTTAAAGACAGTATTTCTTTTCATTTCAGTCCTTTCGTTTTCACTACTATACGTACAATTTTTTTGCTTTATTTTCACTTGAATTATTTCACTATTGCTTTCTTTACTTATTATATAATTTGATTAACATTAAATAATAAAATTAAAAAAGAAGAAATTAAAAATAAAACTTGAAACTTAAAACTTGATACTTGATACAATGTCTATAAGCTACTAAGCATTCGCCTAATATAAGAAACGAAGAAAAAAAAATGTTTTGAAAGACCAACAGCAGAGATGGAGAATGGTTTTACTTTTTTTCCATCTCGCATCTAATTTCAATTATTTAAACTTAATATTTAATAAATAAAATTTGACATCCATATTTTTTTATATATCAACTTTTATTTTGGCTTTTAGAATAAATTCTTCAAAAATATGGATTACGGATATATTAACACTTTGTTATTATTGTTCTAGCTCATGAATCTAGAATTATAATCTATAAGAAATATATTCAATTTATATTGTGTGATTAAATAAAATAAAATAAATTATGATAAATTATTTTGATCATTCAATTTAAGAAATTTATTATACTTAGACATTCTGAAAATACATGTGTTCAAAATAATATTCATACATTTATGTAATATTTATGTAATAATTAAATCAAGTAATTTATACAAGCCATATTTACAGACAAAAATATGTTGATTTCTTTACAACTTTCTCTACTCTTTTTCAATAATATTTTGTAGAGTATGTAATTTCAGCATGATGAGTGTTCTTCATTATTCTACAATAGTAAGAATAATATTCAATTTCAATTAAATTTATATGGATGTTGCATTATATAAAGAAAAACATCTCCAATCTCAATTCCATTAAATTTTTATATATAAAAAATTTTAAAATATTATTAAAAATATTAAATATAATATAATACTATTAAGTTTGAATATAATACTATCAATCAAATCTATAATATAATTAGAATATAAAATAAATTCAAAGTAATATACCCATTAATTATGCCGGAAGATTTATTAATTATCAATATCAATATCAATCTATTTATTATATTATATATGAATATTAAATCTTATATTATATATGAGATTTAATAATAGCTATCATTTTAGATACTATAATATGTTTACGGAACATATAAATAAAATATAAATTTTATATATAAATTTTTTGAATTGAAAGATAGAAATGCTAATAGAAATAATAGAATAGAAAATAATAGAATAGTTCATTATAAGATTTATGGTTTTTGTTTTTTCTGTTCTATGGAGATAAGAAAAACATGGAGTTCCGTCAAAAAAAATATTAATGATCTTGAAATCTCTAAATAAAAAATAACTTAAAAAAATTATTTTATATATAATATATATATATATATATATATTTCTTTAAATAATATAATTTTGTCCTAAGAATTTTTTTCATAAAACAGAGTATCCTTTACAAGATAGGAAGACCATTCTTATTTTTTTTTAACAGAATACCATAATTAATTTGTATTTATTTCATTTATTTATTTTATATTAATTTTTAAAAAATAGCTTTTATAAAGTTGAATAATGTTTGAAATATTTTTCATTATTCTGCATAATTAAAAAATTATGATAAAAAAAAATCTAAAATCTAAAATGCAAGACATTAGAAAGTAATTAAAATAAAATTATTCTAATATAAAATTTTAGCTATTTAAAATGATAAACTTTTTAGTATATATGTATTTATGTTGTATTAACAATAAAAAAAACTTGAAAATAAATATCAAATATTAGTAAATTCGTAAATCAATGCTGTTCAATATACAGAATAATATAAAAAATATAACTAAAATATAACTATTTAGAAGCAGAATCACTATTTTGAATATATAAATTGAATTTCAAAATAAATTTATCTTAATTTAAGTTTTTGATGTTTTAAAATAGCAGGATTCAATTTAAAATCTACTTTTTTTGTTACTTGTGTGATTTTAACCTAAAGAGTAATAATTCGAAGATATAATTATTTTGCAATAGTGAAATATCTCATAATTAAGAATTGAATTTATCAAAAAAAATATATATTTTTATGAAATTTAATTGGTATGAAGAAGAACATCATATGGTGCAAATTATATATCAAATAGTGAAAAAGATTCCAAAGTCAAATTCATTTTTATAATAAATAAAATTATATATTTTTTTTCCGTAACACGATAAATCTTTTATAACAATAACAGATGTCATATAATACATCATTAAATTTATCATCGTATTATAAAAAAAAAAAATATACGATTTCATTAATAAACAAAAATTATTTAATTTTAATTTTGAAATTTTTTCCATCATTTGATATATAATTTTGCATCATATAATACATAATTTTTAAAAAATATATTTTTGATAGATTCAATTCTTTCTTCAAAATTATTATATTATTACATTCTTCAAGATTATATATTATTTCAACATTACAAGAAAGAAAAAATCATTTTTTATGTATATTTTTACATACTACATAAAATCATAACAAAAACACTATACTATTTTGTTAAAATATAGAAAGAATTTTGAGGATTCAATAAATAATCTCCTGTCAAGTATAGATAATTTAAAGAATTTATGTTTCTTTCAGCATTTTTTAAATTTATTTTGTATACTAATATTTAAATAATAATAAAATTTAATCAAAATAAAATATGATTTAGTATCGCGAAAATAGGCTCTTTATTTAACGAAAAGAAACGGATTGAAAATATTTAACAAATATCATCAACAATCTTGAAGAAACAAAACAGTTTTAATAGATAAAACATTTATTTTAAAATTGATTGTAAATATTTCTTTTATTTAAATTTTTATTTTATTTATATTCTCAATTTTTAAATTAATGGATATTTAAAAAATAAATTATTATATTTAAGGATTTATTATTTATTAAGACATTAAAGAATTAATTTATTACATTCAATAAATATCAATATAAGAAAAAAATTTGCTTTTTATTGCTTGCAAAAATATCATTGAATTTTATAATCCGAGCTATTATATATTATTAGAATTCAATGATCATTATTTTTCATTTCTTACAATTTCTTACAATTTTTTTTTACAAACTTATATTATGTATATTAAAAGTAAAAATTATGTAAAATATATTTCTTTTTAGAATTTCATAAATGATGCAGAAATTTTATTGGCATCTCCAAAAACACCCGAAGGATCTGGTGGAACTTCGATTACTAGTAGCACACCTGGCGTTATAGGTGCTCAAGAAGTATACAAGTAATATTATATTTTATTATTTGTTATTTTAATATTTTTTTATACTCAGAAAATTATTACAATTCCTTAGGAAATACTTTTCTATTTTTATAAATTCTTATAATTCATAAATCATTTCCAAGTGTAAATTGCCGATTTTAATGAAATTTATGTATGTATTCTCTATAAAAAATATTTGAGATGCAGTATTTTTTACATGTTAATATTTATGTCAAAGAATTGAAAAGCAACTTCTATTTGTGATTTAGAAATATTTATAGTATATAAAAAAATTTTTAATGAGTTTCATAAGAATGATTTAAATATAAATAATAATTATATATTTGTTTTCAAATATTGAATTTAGCTATATAAAAAACTTTTTAGAAATCTATTTGTTTAAAAAAATAAAAATTTAATTATTTTTATTGTAAAATATAATCATAAAAATTTATGAATATAAATAATTATATGAATATAAATAATTATAAATTTATTATGAAAATAAATAATTATATAAAATATGAATAAATTAATCAATTAATTATTTTGATTTTTGATATTGTAACAAAATGTATTCTATTTATTATTTTTTTTTATTTTATATGAATAGGACTCATGAATATAAAAATATAAAATATTAAAATATTAAATTATATAAAAATTATATAATTTAGAAAATCAAAATTATAAAATATTATAGTATGCTTATAATTTTTTATTTTATATTTCTAGTTTGCATAATTATTATCCTAAATATAACAATATAAAATACATGTAATTGCTTATGCAACTTTAAAAAAGATTTATGATAATTTATATAGCAATAATTCCTTGTTACAAAATAAATTCCGAAGTTAAAACATAAGACAGAATTATCATATTAATTTTTAAAATTTGAGATCAAATTTTTGATATTTTATTTTATCTTTTCCATAAAATAACATTTTAATTTGTGATCCCGAATTCAAAAGATAGAAAATAAAATATGCTTATAATTCAAAAAATGCAACTCTTTAATTTTCTTTAAGTTGCATTTTCTAAGATATTAATATAATAGATATAATATAATCCTAAACGAACAATTTTTTATTTAATTATTTTTTTTTAGAGATCCCAGACAAAAAAGACTCGCGGAAAAACAGAAACAGCAGCAAAGTTCTCAAGTTGGGCAAGTACCTGAAAAGCTCAGTTTTAAAGAAAAAATGAAAATGTTTGCAATGGAAACCGGTGAAGATGGAACTCCACGGGATAAAGTGAAAATTTCACGTGCACAGCGTGAAATAGATAATATTGGAAATCCCGCACTGAATAATAATTATTACAATAATAGTAATAATAGTATCATCAGCAGCAATAATAGTAACAATCAAAATAATAACAACAACGGCAATAATATCAATAACAACAATAGCAATCGACAACAATAGAAATTAAGACTGAAAATTGAGATTTATTTTTTTTAAAATCATATTACATGGATCAGAAAAAAATTGGTGTATCATACCGAACTATTATTATACCATATAAAGAATGTGTGTATTATATTGGTAATGATTCTAACTATTTCATACCGAATACCGATACCGAATTGTTATTATACCATATATAGAATGTGTGTATTATATTGATAATACTAACTATTATTATATAAATACTAACTATTTCATTATGAATATGAACATATATGCGAACATATATGCATTCCAACAATTTGCCCAATTTTGACCAAAATATTATATATTATAAAAATGAATATAAATAAATAGAACAATTAAAAATATTAGAATAGAGAATAAATGCGTTCATATGATGAAATCAGTCTTCATATTTTTAGTATTTAATAACATAATGAATATTAAATGCATTTGAAATCTACTTATTCGATTGGACCAATTTATGATTTTTGATAATAATAGCTATGAATAAGACTTATAATAAAATATACTAAATAAGTCAATAAGAAATAACATTTAAAATAATTTATTATTTCTTACTTATCTTCTTAAAATTTTAAAATCAAAAAATTAAATGAATTTAAATGATTTAAATGAAATATTTAATTGAAACAAGTAAATGCAACTAAATTTTTTTATATCTCATTATTTCTGATATGGTTTTTTTGATCAATAATTTTTTTTTTAATGCTATGACTTTTTTTTTAATGTAATGCATTGAAAAAATGAATTTAATATTTTATAATAAATTGATTTATAATTGATATATTTAGATAAAATATTTAATATAAATCACATACTTTATGCGCTTTTATTCATTATATCTGTTAAATATATCTATCGTTAATTTTTATATATTTATCTAAGCATTATCACAATGAATTTGGATTAACTACTAATATGGATTAATTTCTTCAAACGCTCTTCGAATATGCTGTTATTTTCATAAATGGAATATTAAATGGCACAAAATATATGAAATTTTTGTGAAATGAATTATTACATAGAAATTTCATCCATTCAATCTAAAATCTAATATTATAAATGAAATATATATACGAATGCTTTGTTCATTATTTTTTAATTTCGAGAAAAACTGCCCAACAACAATTTTAAAATCGATGAATTAGTCGAAATAGATTTATTGATTAATCCGCATATTCGTCGTTGAATTTCTTCTTATGAAAAATAATAAAAGATATTGTGATATAATACAACTGCAGAATATGCAACAGTATATTTAGAAAACAGTTCGAAATGTAACGGAAGTAAAGTGAATGCATAAAAGTTAATGTAATAGATTAAATACATACTATAAAATAATAAAACAAAATAAATAAAATAATAAATTAAATATTTTATCTCAGTTTGAGATTCAAGATCAACTAAAATTTTAAACTAAATTTATTATAAATTGTTGAATTCGTCTTTTTCAATATTAAAAAAAAATCTATTGATCACGCAAAAAATTGAGGCTAAAAATCGTAAAAATATAAGATATAAAAAAAAGTTGTATTCATCTCCTTTATACTTCTTGCAATATATATTTTACATTATTATATTATACGTTATACATTTATATCATACGTTATATATTATATTTAATTATTTCATTTTTGATATGAGTAAAAGATAAGTTAAGACAAGTTATTTTATATGTTAGTTATTGACTTATATATTTATATAAGTCATAGTATATTGAATTTCAGAATTATTAAATCGATTTATGAAGATAAAATATCATAAAGATTATATATCATGAATTGTACATAGATAGAATTAGTTAAATTTTTAAAATTACTTGTTATTTACGATGTTGTTTCGTATTTATATTTGATGTAACGAGTGTCGAATAGAATATTTTGATTTATGTATATGCATTTTTTCGTTTTATAGCCAAAAAATACGATAGTTTTAATATCAACCGTTATATCAATCGTTTATTATCAATTGTTGATAAAATATACAGATAAAACATAGACGAATTTATTAATAATATTAATTAATCAAATATGACAGATTTTAAATAAAACAGTAATTATGCAAATAAAAAATGAAATAATGGACATATTTGATTAAAAGAAATTTACTATGAAAAAACATGATTATATGCAACTAATTTCATATTTTATGACTATTATAATTCTTCTGTTTTCTCAATTTATTACATAAATATAATAGTCATTGTAATCATGATATGGTATAATACATTTCATTTTAATTCATTTCATTTTATTATATAAAAGTAATAAAAAAAATCCTTTAATTAATTATGTTTCTTAAAATTAACTTTTTAACTTAAATTCCTTTTTTATTTTTGCAATTGTTATTATATATCCTAAAAAAAGTATTAAAAAATTATTAAAATTAAATTGATAGAAGATAGATAAAATAATAAAAAAGAATTTGCAATAAATAAAATATCTTTTTTGTTATATATCGAATATAAAATACATATATATATAAATACATACATATATTTGCACTACATTTTTTTTAACAAAACAATGATTTAAAATGAATATATTATAACTGTATATGTTATTGCAAACCATTATCACAGTTTACAGTTTGTAAACATTAACAATTATATCTATAAATCACGTATTTTTTAATTATTGTAAAAAATATATAATGCAATTGAAAAATAAAAAAAATTATTTGCAATCTATAGTGATAAAAAAAAATTATATTTTATATAATTAAAATTATTACAAAATTAAAATTTTTTTTAATAATACCTAGTTTCATAAAAATAATAAAATAATTTAGATAAAAAATAATATGTAATTGAAAAAAATAATTATCGAAATAAAACTCTATCTCTAAAAAAGTTCATTTGCATATGAAAATATTCTTTTATTACATCAAATGGATATTTCGAAAGATATGAATATATAAAAATATTTTGAAAGTAGCAATAAATAAATGAAAATAAAATGAATGAAAAAATAATAAATAGATAAAAAATAGATTTAATGAAGAATTAATTAATAAATAATAATTAAAGATTAGGAAAATTAATTTGTAATTATAATTTTTAATAATAATTCATCTATTTTTGAAACATCCGTTTGTTCAGAAGATTTAATTATTATAATATATATTTAAACAAAAATTATAGACAAATATATAATTTTAAAATTACTTTTCTTACAAATGTAATATATTCAACTTAATGTCATTAAATAAATTTTAAAATATATAATATAATATAATATTTTTATAATTAAATATATAATATAATATCAAACATATATATGTATAAATTGTTATAAAGAATTCATATGTATATAAAGAATTGTCATCATATATCAATGTATATTATATTAATAATTTAAAAAAAAAAAATAACTAGAATTCTATCTTATTCTATCTTAAATATATCTTATACCGTGTCCATAAATTGAAAGTAAATAATTTATAATTTTCAACAAGATTTAATGATGAAACTCTTAAATTAAAAGTAAAGAATTTTATGGTGAAATTTTATTAAATCAAATTTATTTTATATTAAAATAAAGTATTTTTAGATTTTTAGACGTACAATGAGTCAACCAATCAAAGATGTTTTAAACGTATCGACTTTTTGTACTATAGAGAGCGCATGCTACATACATATTACAATTTAGCTGATATTGACTAGAAATTTGCCGAGAGAGGCGGCATAGTCGCAGTCAGGTGGAAGGAAACATTTTCTTCTCAATTCATAAAATACGGTCATATCTACTTCAAACTGAATTCAGAGTCAGAGAATTGATTGGATTGTGAGTGATTTCTTGTTATCCGATTACATGATACTCATAATAGTGAATTATTTAAAACAATAATAAAAATTTACTTAGTTTCAAGTGATTTTTTACATTGATACAATTGTTGGATACTTGAAAACAATAACTAGAAAACTGTTTCAATAATGAATAAACTTTGAACAAAATATTAGTTGATTTACTGGCAGTGTATTAATATACAGGAATTGGTTAGAAAATCAAAGAAAAGATTATTAAATATAACAAACAAAAATTATATATTAAAATTGAATGTGGCAACGTAATTTGCAGTTTTGCGAACTAACCATTACGGATTAAGCACATGTATATTAATCATTGATACGAATTGATAGGTAAATTTTTCTTTTATTTTTCTATTTTAATTTTACATAAACATATGTTATAATTAGAATTATATATATATATATATATATATATATATATATATATATAAGATGTATATAAATAAAATGAAATTGATTTAATTAATCTAAAAAATATTGAATAAAACTGGCTATATGAGATATATAATTTAAAACATTTAAAATATGAAAGTTTATTTATAGATATTTCGTTATTTTAGTGAAACAAATAATAGAAATATTAATTTTATAATATCTTAAATGGGATATATGTAAATTATCGATCGTTAACGTTATAGATATAGAATCATTGACGTCGTTTGTGCATGTTATGTGCGTGCGCATATTATATATGTGTATAAGTGATTGATCGGATTATAAGGATCATGTAAAATTGATTGGAATCAATATTTATTTGACATTCAAGTTGAATTCATATAATTTTTATTATTCATAAAATATTCTTGCTAATTCAAAATATAATAATTGTATAAAGTATAATTTTCATTATAATAATTTATCGAAATTTTGAAGTGATATATTAATTATTTTTATTTATATAAAATTATATATTCTTTATTCAATCTTTTCTCCATTAAAATAATAAATAATCTATAAATCTATAAAATAATTAATATACAATTAGATTAGCAAAAATTAAATGATGAAGTAATAATTAATTATGAATGATTAATTAAAATATTTTCAAAGATATCATAAAATTTAATTTAATTATTTATTAATAATTAATTATGAATGATTAATTAAAATATTTTCAAAGATATCGTAAAATTTAATTTAATTGATATTCTTAAAAGAAAAATATTTAGATGAATATTTAGATGTGATTGAAAAATTAGATTAAATAATATACGCATTTACATGTTATTATATATATATATATGTTATTTATATATATATATATATATATATATACATAAATACACAAAACATATATTTCTTAATGTATCTCTATTGCATTCATAACGATAACGAGTTTTTCTGTTCTGACATTATTATTATCTTTAAAATTAAAATTTCCCAAGAGGAAAGTTTCAGATAATATTTTTTGATATAAATATGATATTTAATATACATGTAATGGAGAAAAGAATATTTTCTTTTTTTTCTCTTCTTTCACTCTTCTTTCTCTCTCTCTCTTTCTCTCTTCTAATTATTTTAAATTAAAATTATAGAAATTTATAAGATAAATATAATATATATTATAAATAAAAATTTAGTATGTTGTATATAAAGATAATGTAACTTTGATAAAGATAGAACACAAGAGAAAATAAGAGAAAATAGAATAAA